CTGGTTCTACATGCTGTCCAAGTGTGGAAGTAACGATGGAATCTTGAAATTTTGTAGCTATCTGTTTTGACCGCTTTCGGGTGTGAAATGTTGTTGAAATGTGACTCTTTTCACATGTATTAAGTATTTCTGACCATAGGTCTTCAAAAAAAGCCTCACTGCGATAATTTGTCAGCGTTTCTTTTAGTGCGTCAATGAGTTCAACAGCCTTAGAGTGGTCAACAGATTTAGATTGGAGCATCTCAGACAAAATATTAGAGTCACTCAACACCTTTCGAAAGAGCACAAGACATCCAACAAAACTGACATCAATTTGGGCCAATATGCCTTTTGCTTCAACGGCTCTTTGAGGATTGTTCTCATCCGAGAGCTCTTCAAGCACTTGCAAAATAGCAGGCAATCTATCCATGACATTGCGACATGCTACATGTCTGCAAGCCCAGCGTGTATCACTGAGTCGCTGGAGCTCCCTTGATACACCATCATACATGTTCCGCTGTACTTCAAGCCATTTTTGATGGACGTAAGATCCAGACAAGAACACATAAAGTCTTTCCAACAAAGAAAAGAAATTCCCAGCGTCTGGCACATTTTTGACGGCATCTACTATGACCAGGTTGAGACTGTGTGCACTGCAATGCACATAAAATGCATGCTTGGCCACTGCTTTTATTCTCGCTTGGACACCTGAATGGGCCCCACTCATTACAGCAGCTCCATCGTACCCCTGACCTACAAGATTTTTCTTGTACTCCAAACCATACTTTTCCAAACAGCCAATTATTTTCTCAGTTAACCCAGCAGCATCAAGCTTTTCTGCCTCTTGAAATTCTAGAAAGCTTTCGTAAATCAGACCATTGTAATAGTATCTCAGAACAATTGACATTTGCTCTTTTTTCTGAACATCTTTAGTCTCATCTACGATCACAGAAAACTGTATACTCTCTTTAACTTCTTTCATGATTTCTTCTTTCACCATTTCTGCCAGACAAGACAGTATTTCATTCTGGATGGTTTTACTTGTATACTTAGCATTTTTAGCTTGCTGTTCAAGTCTCTTTTTTACAATGGGATCATGTTTGCCCAACAAATCTAGCATGGCCAGAAAAACACCTTGTCTGTCTGAGTCTGGAGACTCTCTGTGACCC